AAAATATTTCTAAAGCTAAAATAAAACCTAATATCTCTTTGTGTATTTGTCAATTTTGCATATATTTAGTATGACAGTATGTTCGTAAATATCTGGAAAAATCTCGTCTTTCGTTAATAATTTCATTTGTTTGAAATGTCTACCGACCGTGTCCCAATAATTTGTTTGGAATATCGATCCCCGTTGGTTTCTCCAAACGATCCCGTCGTCCATCATTCAACACAATCAGCATTTATTTATTGTAATTCATGGTGATCATGTCCCGTAATTTGCAAGCTGTAAAACCAAATAACTAAACAAGTACTATTTATTATATCTATATTTTTGTTTTACCTCGCGAAACTACAACACGGCATAGAGTTGTCGCGGTGAAACAGTCGCCTTGAAATCGATGGAACTTCAATTATCCATTTCTCACCTTGAAATAAAATCGAAGAGCATCGGGGATATATTATTAACCAGTCTTACCAATCGCTAGCTTTATTTTATTCGAATCCATAAAATTCACGACATTTGTTGGCAACTTCCGCGCTAAAAGTGGTTGAAAGTGTGAGTGTGGTTCTCTGGCAAAGTCCCGTTGATAATACGGACAAATATGGTTCTGTGACCCAGGTTGTGTGCTCCGATCAGGTGACTCTCAGCCAATCAATGATGTTGTAACAAAGCATATTTGACGCTAATTTAAGGGTCGTCGTACCATCCAAACTCCTGCGTCGATTCACATAGTTTGTTTGTGCTGTGACAGGCTTCACAATTATTCACCAAAAAATATCGGTATATTTTGACAAACGGCCGGGATTTGACCTCGGTTCAAAAAAAGAAAGAAAAAAACTGGGCTGAGATACAAATCAGTTTTGCAAGTTGGGAAATAAGGTAAACCAGATTGGGGTCGATGATATTCAGTATCGAATGACTTCCGTGTGTATCATGAGTTTCAAATTGTTCATCGACTGGGCACCACTGGACACGTTTTTTTCTGAAGCCCAATTAATTATTTCTGCGTGTCAAGTGCTATACAATTTTTTACAGGGCATGTGGCTCGTTTTTATTCGAAAATATTTTTTGTGAGAATACTTTTAAAGTATGTATAGGTCAAGCTTAAGTCACTGATAGTGACTTAATTTTGAAAATTGGATGTAAAATTTTACTAGACCGACTCCACCACAACCATACAATCATAGTTAGAAATGTACGCACTTGTTTTGGAACTTTGTATCAAGATGGCCGGCGACAACGCCGACGCACTAGGCGGCGTACGTGTGTTTTGCATGTATTAGTACGAGTAGTCCGGGCATGGGATCGGACTCTGCTAAAACTAAACGAAACACAGAAAAATACCACTGAAATGAGGAATCTGAATCTGTTCTCTTACCAGCAAATAAAATGAATGAAAATAAGGTACATGTAATTTTATAACAAGAACAGTTTCATTTCGTATAGCAAATTGCGTTGTATTCGAACGACGATTGCCTCGTGTGATTTAAATTTATAACGATTTTTCTCGTCACCTTGCAGATTGCAATGTACTTCACAAAGTTTTTGGTACCCAATACTCGCAACATTAAATAATTAAACAAGATACCTTTTTAGTCCTCGTTCGGACGCAGTCCGAAAACGGGGACTTATGTTTTGCCCTGTGTGCGTCCGTGCGTCCGTGATCACCTGTATCTCGAACATGCATGGACTGATTAAGTTCAAACTTCACTCATACATCACACATTATATGGGACATATGCACATGCATTTTTTTCATGATCCGATTAATGATAGCCAAATAGC